CACACAGACGGTGGAGCGGGGTGTGGGGTGCAGCTGGCATGGGCTGGGGCTCTCAGGAATGGTTTGCCGTCCCAAAATGTTTCTGGCTTAGTGTGAAAAGGTAGAAGCTTGCCTAGTAGAATAACTATTGTTTTCTGTACATCGGCCTTTGAGGAAAACAGCACGGAAGTATGTAAAGGTGTGGTTTAGAACCAAATAAAGGGGGGGGGGGGAAATTGTTTGCATTTAACTTAGTCATATGGTTTCTTTGTGTGGTTCTGTCTCGTACTGACTCTCGCACATGGCAAAGCCGAAACTGTCATCTGCCTTCTCCTATAGGCCAGAGTTGTGATTTGATGGTCATCATGGCAGGGTTGGTCAGGAGCCCATCTCTTACACAGTTGGTGTTTATGGGATGGTGGCAGTTAAAGTCATTGGTGTTTCACATCTAACTTGATTAGGTGGTTTTAACATAGATATTGAATTGTTTTCATTGATACCAAAGATGGCTCATTTCTACATCCTTGTACTCAATTTACTGTTTTATCTCTTTCTTGCAGTAATAAGTGTGAGACATTCCCATTGGCTACACGGCTTAATATTGTGTGTGTGGGGCTCTCTCCAGATGGAAGTCTTGCCATACTAATTGATGAAGGTATTTTCATAAAGGAGGCTTTTGTTTTATAAAAGAACAAAATAAAAATACAGCCTGAAGAGGAAAGTCTGTGTTGCTAGGTATTTAACCTTAACACAGATTAGAAGTGCTCTGCTTTCAAAATTGTGTTAGAATTTCAGGGGAAGGTGTCTTTATTTACAGAACTCAAAAAGAACTTATTTACAGAATTTAGAAAGTGACTTGTAATTTTGATTGTGTTTTTCTTCTTAATAATATTAAGTATGCTATCTTGAAAAGTTTCTGAGGAGGTACCTTTTTTTTTCCCTCTTTAAGGAAAGAAACTAAGCTTGCTAGGGTTATGGTTTCTTTGGAAACTGGATTATTTCCATGATCCTTCTTTTTCTGCCCTTACAGAGGGAGCTGCCTTGCTTGTCAGTTTGATTGGTAAATGTGTGATACATCGCTTTTATTTTCACAAGCCAGTTCACAGTGTCAGCTTTTCCCCTGATGGCAAGTAAGTAAAATGTGCATGCTTTAGAACAAAGCAACAGAAAGTACCCAATAAACTGGTTGTAATTATTAAGACATTTTGATCAATCTGGGGATGATGTCTATTGATTAACGTAGGGGAGACTTTGAGGTGATCAGAGTCACTTTACCTGTAAAGTTGAGAGGGGAAGAAAAGTGGAAAAGCAAAGCCTTGGAAACATACTGACTGGAAAGCTGCCTGTCACTGATGTTGTTTATCTATGGTGGAACTCTTAGAAACATAGAAGATTTGCTGTGAGTCTTCACTGTTCTTATGTATCATACATGAGGTGAAAGAGCCCACGGGGGGACAGTCAGTGCCGCAGAGTTGCGTGATGGCACTTGTGGCAGTGTAGTGTCACTGCTGAGTTGGGTTAGTCTAAGACAACTGTGCTACTGAAAGAGGCCGTTCTCTGAATCGAGTGCTGCTTTTCACGTCCCGTATATTTTAACTGCATCTTCATGGATCCAGAGTGTGATTATCGTAAATGTTAGAAGCATCAGAAGAGTGAGAGGAAAAAGTACGGAGTTCCTCTTTTGGCAGCATTCCTCGGTTGGGTTGACTTAAAGTGATCACAAATGAGTTTTTGTTTGAAAGCTGGGAGTCACAGTTCTGTGTTGAGGAGTTACACTGGCAACAGGACCAGATTAGAGGATATATGTAATGCGGATGCAGATGCTTTGCGCTTGTGAAAATGGCCAGTATATGGAGGTGAAGAGAGGTTGAAAGAGAATATCCTGTTTTGAATGTTTGAACTTTCCCTTCCTTTGTGAGAATTAGAGAATATTTCATTATTCAACTTAAGTGATTTTTACTGAAGGTTTTGTGTCTTATAATGCGTAAAGTATACCTGCATTCATGAAGTTGGGGGATAATATCAATCTGCAAATTATTTTTTGTTTTTAATTCAAAACCAGTCCATATCTATGACTTCAGTAACGCAGAAATCTTTTTAATATTGTTTTGTTTTGTTGTATTGCAGACTGTACTGAACAATTGTTTGCTTTAACAGCTTTGTGTGCAGTTATGGTTTTTTTCCCCCCATATGACAGGAAATTTGTGATTACAAAAGACAATGTTGCTCTTATGTACCATGCTCCTGGGAGGAAACGAGAATTTAATGCGTTTGTTCTGGACAAAACTTACTATGGTCCATATGATGAAACAACTTGTATCGACTGGACTGATGATTCCAAGTGAGTGGTTAAACTAAAGCACTGTCTACCTGCTCATATTGTTAATATTTGCATGCATGTTATCATCCATTTTCTTTGCTCTAAAGTATTGTACTAGCTTTAAAAACTCTTTTTTGGCTCTTCTGTTTCTCATTCTATCTTGATTTAAAAAAATCTTATCATTAGGCAGACTGGAAAGTACAAAATATGCATGTATCAGGGATCAACAACGTATTCTTGCTTGAAAATACATAGTTATCCATAAAAGGAACACATCTTAGGAATGTGAGCACGGTTGACCTTTGGAATGTATTTAATCCCATCTACCTTTGCTAGAGTTGCCAACCTCAGTTTACAACTCTGTTGTGTGTAAAATTACTTTTAAAGTGGTGACTGGTGTCTTCCTGTTCAGAATGTTCTCCACCCAGAGAAGAGTTTTGCAAACCAGTGTTCTAATTCAGATTGCCTTTTCTTTTGTAGATGTTTTGCAGTAGGGAGCAAGGACATGTCTACATGGGTGTTTGGAGCAGAACGATGGGCAAACTTGATCTACTACTCACTTGGAGGGCATAAGGATATAATAGTAGCCTGCTTTTTTGAAGAGAACAGTCTAGATGTATGTATAATCACACAACATTCTTGAATTTGAATATTAAAATAGTTTAAGTAGAGTCTTATCTGTAGGTAAGAAGGCTGACTATTTTGATAATATCTCAGAATTTAGAAAATAAGTAATATGTTTCTTGACTCCTCTGCAGTAATTGGGAGCTTACAATCGTGTGAATTGGAAGAAGTGAACTTTAGAAGGATAGTAAGTTATTTAAAATTGCTCCACAACAAAAGTTACAATTTTAAATATGAAAAAATTAATTTGCTGTAATGACAACTGATAATCAAATTGCCTTCACTATTGTCAAAAATTATCTGAGGGCAGATAAAGTAAATCACCAGTTCACACATGAAGTGGATTTTCCAGATTAAAGCACATTGAATTCGTGAGGACTAAGTAATGCATTATCCTAATGATAGACTGCAGACTTGCTTAACCCTTCTGCAATTCTGTATTCATAAGAAGAAAGCAGATTATAAAACACAGATATTACGTGATAATCATACATTTGTGTGTTTGTGTTCTAGCTGTACACAATTAGCCAGGATGCAGCGCTCTGTGTGTGGCAGTGTGATACAGAGCTTAGTGGTTTGAAGCCCATGCCCCCTAAAGATGCAGCAAGGGAAGAGGATGCGGCAAAAGATGATGAAGAGTTTCTTGAAGAGCCAAAGGGTGAAGAAATTCGTGGAAAAGCCAATCCAAATAAACAAGAGGCTAGGGATAAGGTTAAATATTCACGTGTTGCAAAGTAAGTGATTTTCAGTTTTCCAAAGACAGAGTTATTTTGGGGAATTATTATATTGGGCTTTTTTCACCCTTTGTCATTGATTCAAAGCAGTATAATACTTTGCCCAGGATTTAGTAATTTACTATAGATCCCATTTAAAATAGTTTCAGTACAACACCAGTTTGTCTTACTTTGCCTATATGAAAGGTGATACCCTTCATCTTCAGAATAACAAGTCAGTGTAATTTTAATAATATAAGAAATACCGATTTACGGTGTATGTTTTAGTGTTTGAAACTGAAAAAAGTGTAAGGAGATCTTTGGTACAGTATCCTCTAACTAGGTGTAGAGACTTTGAGGTCTTGCAAGAAGAGATTGGTTAACTTCAAGAGGTGACAGCAACGATTCATAAAGATAGCTCATCAGCCCCTTTGGTAAACTACTTGGAGATGCCTTCCTGAATGATCTCCCTGTCTGTCCACATCAAAGGAGATAAGGCTTACAAAGAATAATCCAGTTTTAAGATAGCCATGGCATTTAGCTTTGCTTGAAGAAGGACAATGTTCATAGGCAATCTCTTTGGTCAGTGAAGTGAGGGAGAGATGGGATGTATGTACAGGCTAATTGGGAACACCTGACATCAGGCTTATGTTCTCAGTCTCTCTGAGTGTAAAGGAAGTACCCTACCCTAAGCCAGGGAACATCACTTCCAGACTTCCAGATTTTGGAGTATACAACTGTTGGGTAATGTTCAGATGCTCTTTTATTTGACCGTCATGTGGTGCTTATCTCTTTCTTTCCAGTAAGAGATACAGTTACAAAGAAACTGAGAAAACCTTCTTCACCAGGCATATAATATTTATCAATATTGCTTCAATTCCTTCCTCAATAAGAGGACTCGCATATAGAAGGATAAGCAGTGAATTCATGAGAGTCGCTCGTAGATGATCACCAGGAAATGCACAGTGCAGTTCCTCTGAGGTTAACTTGTAGTCCCTTTCATTCCATGTGATCAGGTGTCACTTCTGATAATCAGATCACTGTAGCAGCTGTAAACATTGAGGAAGAGAATTGTAAAGTACCCATCTTCAGCAATTCCTGGAACTACTTTTTAGTTTTATTGTAGGATACCTTGATCAAAATATTTGGCCTATATTGAAATGCAACTATAACAGCATACACTTCTTTTGCATTGTTTCCTTTTTTTCTTATTTCTTTGATGCCAGGTATTTTTTCAATAAAGAGGGAGATTTTAATAACCTGACATCTGCAGCTTACCACAAGAAAACTCATCTTTTGGTCACTGGTTTTGCTTCTGGAATCTTTCACCTCCATGAGCTTCCCGACTTCAATCTGATCCACTCCTTGAGGTGAGGTATGGGATTGTGGTTGTTCTTTTCTCTTGGTTTTGTGTGTGGGGTACGTTTTATCTATTTAGTATTGTAATTTCTGGAAAGGCGGAATCATAGACTTAAAATACCGTACAGCTGTGTTCCATGGCTTGTTATGGAAAAGTGAGGTCTAAATGCAGAACTCCTGAGTAGTTAGTTGTTGGCTATAGATTTCTTCAATGCTTTGGACTTCATGTTGTCAGGTTTTTTTGTAGCAAATAAAGATAGTATCTGGGAAAAAAAAAAGTTCTGCATGTGTAAAATTATATGTGAATTGTCTCTAAGTTGGAAAATAAAACCATAGTTATTTTCCATTGCTGTATGATGCTAGCTAAAGAATGCATAATTTCCCTGTACAAAAAAACCATCAATGTGCAGAGTTTTACTCTGTGTTGGCAAGTATGTCTTTGGGATGTAGATACTCTGTCTTTACTCAAATAAGGCAGTATTGTCTGTTTGACGTTTTTGACTAATAAAGGAAGGAACATGTATGCTGCTTTTGATGTTACAGTGATACAGAAATTCAGTAAAGTAATCAACTTGCCTGAACAGAGGAGATAAACCCTAGATTTGAAGTTTGATCACACAAGGCATGAAAACACAAGTTTTGTTTATTGGGTAATTCTCTTATTTCAGTATTTCAGACCAAAGGATAGCTTCTATTTCTATCAACTGTACCGGTGACTGGATTGCCTTTGGATGTTCAGGTTTGTAAATTTTTTTTCATCTCTGTGTTTTGTGTGGCTTGCATTTGCAGGGTCTCATAATTGTAGTCGTAATTCTGGTTAATTCTTCTCACGTGTTCATAGGTTTGGGTCAGCTCCTGGTGTGGGAATGGCAAAGCGAGTCCTATGTGCTGAAGCAGCAGGGGCATTTCAACAGCATGGTTTCATTAGCATATTCTCCAGATGGACAATACATAGTGACTGGAGGGGAGGATGGAAAAGTAAGTGATGCAGTATCACCGAAATATGAACTTAAGTCTTAATAACATAGTAAACAGCTTTAATTTCTATTTTACATGGAAAACACTGTAACTGATATATTTTTCTTAATATAAAGTCATAATTTTTTAGCTTTACTTAAATGTTTTTATTTTTCTCTCTAAAATATATATGTATTTTGATTTGCTATTATTGGTTTCCTCTGCAAATTGCATCACTTATGCTCTTTAGCAGATGATTTTTAAATTATTAGAGTTGCAGTCACCATAAACACAAAAAGATGTAATTCATCAAATGTTAATTTATGTATGCTTGTGGTGGCTCCAGATATTTGGGATGAATTAATGTCAGCAAATTCATGCCCTTTTAATAATTGCTTTTAATGCAAAAATTAATTTCAGATTGTTTATAAAAGTGCGATTCCTAAACAGATTTTTCAGAAATGTACCATTGCAGAAGCTTGCTATTTAAAACAAAAATTAGCTTCTCATGGTTGACTTGTGTTGAAATGGTAGGCTAGGTGTACATGTACTCTTTCTTTAAGATGTTTTGTAGCGTAATCCCACAATCTCTTGGCACATAAATGGGACAAAGATAGTATCTTGTTTCCTATCAAAACTTCTGAATGTCAGAAAAAGACCTGCCACTTCATGGTTTCTGCCATTCAGATTTAAAATTGGCCAAACCCTAGAAGTCTCAAACTGCAGATAGCTAAATGTGTAATGTTTTTCTTCAAAAAGAGATTGAAATAACATCTCAATTGTAACTTCTGGAGTGGCTTCACAGATGGTTTTGAATTTGACACTTGTCTTACGGACAGTGGACAGTCCAAAGTTTGGGAGCCTGAGATGCTTGCCATGTACTATAACTTTCCTTGAAAATTAGCTTGGTTTTAATTTTTTTTTGTCTGTTTCCACTTAGATTTTCATGTTGTATATGTGTCTGTAGGGATTTAATGATAAGCTGTGGCCCTGTTTGTCTCACTTGCACAAAATTCCTTACTGATGGTACTGAAAGTCCTTTATGCTACTGCAGAGTTTTAGGACTGACCGTTCTTTACTCTTCTGCTGCCTTACCCATACTTTCTCTTTGAACTGATGATGAAGATTCGAAGAAGGCTTTTCTTGTCTCTCTTTCAGGTGAAAGTGTGGAACACCTCAAGCAGCTTTTGTTTTGTGACTTTTACAGAACATACCAGTGGTGTAACTGCTGTAACTTTTACTTCTAACGGTTATGTCATTTTGAGTGCTTCCCTAGATGGAACTGTGCGTGCCTTTGACCTACACAGGTAACTCTTTATAAAAAGGCTTTTGTGTCTCACTTAGTTTTCAGCTTTCACCCCCCAAAACAGAGCAAACTGGTGATTGCTTGTTTCAAGTTGAAGTTTCACAAATGTGAGTACTGCTTTATTCAATTTTGGTTCAGCCTTTGATTCAAATTTAGACAGTAATTAGGAATCCTGCTACTCCATCCAGTTTCTGTGAAGAAAATTCTGTAAGAGCTTTTCTCTGAGAAGCTGCAAATCCACTAAGATCATTGTCTGGCTCCTCTACTCCAGTGGAGAGAAGACATCTGTCTAACAGAATATTTGCCATAGTTTTAGTGGTTGAGCCATTATAATACAGCTGTGTACAGAACTGGATGTGTAAACAAGCCTGTATTTTCTAAAGAATGGATGTATGCTGTGTAATAGAAAAAAGCTTTTCTGTTGGAGCGGTTTTGGCTATTATTTTTCCAGAATTAATAACACCTTTTTTGAATCTTGGAATCATGGTAAGGCATTGCATCTAATTTTAAACACAGAATATTTTTTCTGTAGATAGTTTAAAAGACTTTAGAAGAAGAATGAAATGCTTTTTTAAATATGCTTGTGAAACATATGTTTAAATCTACCTAAAATGTTCTCATAATTTATTTTCACGTTTACAACAGATACCGCAATTTCCGTACCTTTACATCTCCACGACCAAGTCAGTTCTCTTGTTTAGCCGTGGACTCCAGTGGCGAGATTGTGTCAGCTGGTTCCCAGGATTCCTTTGAAATATTCATCTGGTCAATGCAGAATGGGAGGCTGCTAGATGTAAGGACCTACGATGTTGGAGGGCTTGAATTTAACACATGCTTAGTATCATCACAATCTGTGTGAACTTTCGGATTTGTTGGAGGTTTTTAATACAACGTGAAGCATTTTGTTATATTCAGGAAGGAGCTACACTATGTTATTCACAGCAATTTTTGATTTATTGCATGGAGACTATCCCGGATTTGTGTGCAAAATAGTTTTTTAGAATTTTTGAGTAATGAGCTCTTTCTGGCTGATGAAGTAATGCCAATATTGCTGACTTAACACATGGGCATGAGGGTTTTTCCTCTAGTAGTTGTTCAGAGATGTTCTTTTCAATGTATTTTGTGTAGGTAAGGAAGAAATTGTAAGTGCTGTCCTAAGATCAGTGCAGATTAAGTGGACAGTTGTATTGGAGCAGAACAGGGGCACAATTTCTTGTGGTTTTTATTGTGTAGGGCAAGAACACTATTAAGTTAAATCCCCACTGCCTTGCTGCTAGTTTGAAGTGCATTCTCGTCAGAGTAGATGTAATAAAGGAAAGATACAGTACTTCCGAGCAAATCGAACTAATTTACTATTTTCAGTTCTTAAGCATTTTGTACATCTTGTACAAGTGGATGAACTCAGCGATTCATGTATTTAATTTGGCATAACTGTTGAATACAGATTGCTAACAGTAACTTAGCTATACTCAAGTGGATCTCCAGAGTTTTGAGTTTAGAGTCTTTCCTTGATTTCTTTTGAGAGGAGTAGGAGCTCCATGCTATAAAAGTCTGTGTTACTGTTTTTCAGAGTTTTTAATAGTGAATTATTCTTAAATGTTTTCAGCTGCAGGACATACTGAATTCTCAGAGCAATGACTTGCTTTTGCACAGTTGGTCTGATTGTTCTGATGGGGAGGGGGAGGAAGAGCATTGTATTCCATAATCTTGATCTCTAAAGAGGCTATGTGAATGCATGAGTGCTTATAGATGCCTATGCAGTGGTAGCATTTCAGTGAAATTTTTTAACACTTCTGAAAAGAAAAAGTTGAGAATCCCTGGTATGTATCATGCCACGTGTCCAAAAGTGACCTCAAGCATGTGTGGACAAGTTAGGCATGGTTTCATTGCTATATTTAGAGTTTATTGAATGCAGGCTACATGAATTTCAGTTTCTCTCACCTAATTCCATGTTATCTTCTTTTATTAGGTCTTATCAGGTCATGAGGGCCCCATCAGCAGTTTGTCCTTTAACCCAATGAAGTGTGTTCTAGCTAGTGCATCTTGGGATAAAACTGTCAAGTTATGGGATATGTTAGACAGCTGGAGAACTAAGGAGACACTAATATTGAACTCAGATGGTAACGTTTATTTCATCTTATATGAATATAAAAATCTTATCAAAAGTGTTTCAGGAATGAGACTTACTCTTGGTAATGAAACCCAAAAGTTGAGATAGTTCTATGTAGTACTTAGATACCAGTGCAAGAAATATTTTTTTATTTAATACTAACTTTAGCTTTATAATTAGCTATGTTGTCCAGAGCAAAAGTACAGTCATACTTGTAACTTTTAAGGTTTTTCTGGTAGTTGAAATAAGATCCTAGAAAAATACAGGGTATTTTCTTAGAAAAAGATCTGACTGCATTTTTAACTGTTAACTAAATTCTTTGCAGTTCTTGTTGTTGCTTTCCGTCCTGATGGCAAGGAGCTTGCAGTCGCTGCTTTGAATGGACAGATAACATTTTGGGATCATGAAAATGCAGTGCAGACTGGTTCAATTGAGGGAAGGCATGATCTTCAGATGGGAAGGAAGGAGCTTGATAAAATAACTGCCAAACAATCGGCTAAGGGAAAGTAAGTAAATGAGATTGCAGTCAAAAGAGGGTGCCACACTGGCTTTTGCTTTTGAATTGTTCCTTTCCATTTGGTTTTTACGTGAAGATTTCAGAGTGCATCTGCTGTTCAAATATTTTGATTCTGATGCTGGATTTTAAAAGACTGCCTGACTTGACATCTGGATGGATCCTTTTTGTCTTTTACTGTGTTCACCCACTGATGAACATAATTGTGAGCATCTGTTCTCTTTCATCAGTTACGAAATTGGGTTGCCAGCGTAATAGTAACCTTCTCATGACAAGTTTGGCTAAATGTGATAGGTTTTTAAGTGGATATCTTGTTATGTAGGTACTAGTATGTAATTATTAGTGTGTAGAAACTGTTACATCTTTTAAAAAAGGTAAATACGCTGTGGGTTTTATTACACAGTACTACATGTGTGAGGTAATGTTTAAAGGCAAGTTGAATTTGTGTGCTGTCAAAAAGTGTAATACAGAAGTCATGTTTCATAAGTCGTGTTTCATTCTTCTCTCTTTTACCCTTGAGTGCCTTCTCCCCCCTCCCCCTTATTACTCCCCCTCGAAACAAAATGAAAAAAAGAAACAATAACACTTTTGGGAAAAAAAAATTCTGGTGATGATCTCTCAACCATTTCTTTAAAACATGTCATGATACTGATTTTTTTATCTAGTTTCTGACCATCCTTAGTGTTGTGTAGGGTGCAGTTGAAAGCTCATTCATTGAGCTGCGACTTAGAAGGAATATGGAAGCACTTCAGAAAGCTCTAAATTCAGAAAGTTCTAAATTGTTTGTGATTCATAGCAAAGCACCAAGTACTTGTTTGTGGTAAATGATTTTGTGTGTTAAGTACATATTGTGTGAAAGCAGCTCTCCACTTTTTCCATGGAATGGGTATGCTTCTATGTCTTCACACTGTACTTGTGTCTTTTAGGTCAGATGTGGCAGTGAAATTAACTACTTTCTCTTTTTTCTTTACTAGATCTTTTACTACTCTGTGTTACTCAGCAGATGGTCAGTCTATTCTGGCAGGTGGATTGTCAAAATTTGTCTGTATATATAATATCAAGGAGCAGATTCTTATGAAAAAATTTGAGATCTCATGCAACTTTTCTTTAGATGCAATGGAGGTATGTGAGTGAAGTTTTTTCACACACCACCACCTCACCCCCCACCCCATCCTCCCCCACCCAAGACTTTGGTTTTGGTATAACATCTCATTAAGTAGGACACATGAATATTTTGTTAAGCATAGGCTCATTTTCTTGGGTTTTGTGCTAACTAAAGTGTTTGCAGATTGTGGTGTGTTCGTATTGAATGAGCAGAACTCTTGAGCATAGTTAAGTCAGTTGGCACTTGAAGAGAAAGTACGAAAATTTAAATGTTCAATATTTTGTACTAAGCTAACTTTCTCTAGGTGTCAGTTGTTTGTGTTAGCAAAGAAATGAAGGATTTTATTGTGGATGCAGAAGAACATCACTGATCTTTACAAACTCAGTTTCTAAATATTACTAAATGCAAAATTAATTTCCTTTAAAGTGAATGATGAAAAGCATCAGAAGGAAAAAAATTCCAGTAACCCTTTTTAACATCCCCTTACCTGGAAGAATGCTGATTGTTCCAGTGTTCATGTCAGGCTGTATTTGAGTGGTTCCAAGTATATTTCTTTGACAACAGGGGTTTGTGATGCAGCCTTAGTTTCTCTGCTGCCCTCTGTTGTGCTACCATAGCTCAACATGTGGCTTAAAAGGGTACCAGAAGTGAGGCAGCTGGGAAGAATCCTGGAGGGGATGGGTGTTTAAAAATGGGGGGGGGTCCATAAAACATCATTTGCATAGCTGTCTGGCTACACAGCTCTTACATCAGCACAGTGCAGTTACGGAACCTGAAGGGGAGGAAGAGTAGAGCTGCATCTGAGGAATGGTGCATCTCTTAAGTAGAACAACAAGATAATAGTGTGAAACTGCAGTCTAAACTGATTTGTGCTGTTCCGAGGCCTTAAGACTGAAGCAGCCTGATTCTCTTCTGCGGTCAGACACTGTTGCATGCTGTTGTGAAATTGTCGGTTTTCTCCATGATTTTGAAGAAACTTTTGGAAGAAAGTGCAAAGAAATAATCACTAGATAACTCCTGAGTGTTATGGAGAATTTTCAGTTAATAAAGGTGTTTGAGAGGAGATTCAGTGCAGTGAATGGAACTTACGTATTTTCCTAGGAGTACCTAGATCGGAGAAAAATGACTGAATTTGGCAGCATGGCTCTGATTGATGAAGGAGGTGGAGGTGAAGATGGTGTTGCTATTCCTCTTCCTGGAGTAAAAAGAGGTACGACTTTTGGCTTTGCTTCCTTGTTAGTAGTTGTATGCGAATCAAAACCTTTGACATAGAATCAATACCAGATCAGAAGGGTTTGAATTGTTCAGCTCAGTTTTAAAGTTGGGATTACCTGAACGTTCTGTAGATGCAGGGATCTGTCACACAAGTGTTCGGCTGCTGTATGGTGGGTCCTTTTGCATAGTAGAAGCATCAGGAAACAGGAGGTACTGTGATCTCCTGGATATGGCACCCAGCAGTCCTGATTTCATTTTCAAAGAGCAAAATTAAGTCCCATCATGTATTTTAGCTGTAAGATCTCTTGAACGAGGACTGTCCCTTTCTTACCCTGTCTTTAACTCTGCCAGGTTTTGGCATGTTCCACATCATTTTTTAGCATAATGAGAACAGCATAGTTAGAGTTGATAGCTAGCCAGTGAACTTTTGATGAATATATTAAATCACTTCTAAACTTCTCATTTAGGTGACATGAGTTATCGACACTTTAAACCAGAAATAAGAGTGACTTGCCTGCAATTTTCTCCCACAGGTGAGTATTGACAATTACTGTAGGATTTCTTTATTCCATGTAAAACAAGCAAAAGAGTAGAGCATCGAGCATTGGAGGAGTAATAATGAAATACAAATGCCTCAGACATGGTCTCTCCAGATGTTACCCAGTGCTGCTAGGTTTGCAGTCTAGTTTCCAGTGCAGTGGATAATTAGGAAACTTAAGTGTACATCACTTTCAGCTGGTATTTTTTACAAGCATTGTCATTGCTGACAGGTCCAACAATGATGCATGGTTTTCAGTCTTACCAGCTTCTTGTAAGCAATGAAGAGTCATCTGTTTATCATTACTCTTCTGTTTCCACCCTAGAAAACCCAGCTTTGTTCTTAAATATTTTTATTCTCTTCTAGGACGAAGCTGGGCAGCCACAACCACAGAGGGTCTTCTTATCTATTCATTGGACTCTGGGCTAATTTTTGATCCTTTTGATCTGGATATTGATGTCACACCCAGCAATATACACAAAACATTGCATCAGAAGGAATACACTAGGGCTATCATCATGGCCTTCAAGCTGAATGAGAAGAAATTAATTCAGGAAGTCATAGAGGCTGTACCTAGCAATGAAAGTAAGTGGGTCTTCCATGAAGTTTGACCAAGCTAGCTGTAAGTGGAGATACGTAAGCTAAATAAGTTGAAACATAAGGGACAGAGCTTAGCTCTGGGGTTGGGCAATGAGGGGGACTTATAACATTGATATTTAAGGAATTTCTACTGTAGCTGAAGACTGAAGAGGAATGGATGGTCTTGGGGGGGAAAAAAAAAAGACTTTTTGGTGTTAACTTATGTTTTAATTTTACTGCATGGTCATCTAGCAACTTTTGAACATGGAATTTGATCAGGTCTGGCTATGCAGGTAAAGTTTTTGGGTGTGAATTCTCAGAAGCAGCTGATGTTAGAGGGGCACAGCAAGTTTATCGTGAGTCAGCAGTGTGCCTGTGTGATGAAGCAGTCAACCAGATACTGGGCTGTACTATCAAGGATGTACTCAGCAGTCTGAGGAAAGTTATTAGTCTTCTCAATCAGCACTTGCGAGACCACACCAGGAGTAGTGTGCGTGGTTTTGGGCTTGCCAGTACAAGACAGACCTTGATACTCTGGAGCACCTGGTGGAGCTTGGGGCTTCGAATATGATTGGAGGGCCAGAGTGCATGACAGCTGAGAAGAGGCTTAAGAGATCTGAGTTTCTTCAGTCTTTAGAAGAGAAGGGGAATATTTTTACTGTCTTCAAGTGCCTAATGGGATGTTAGAAGGCAGAACCAGACTTGGGGTTGCACAATGATATGACAAGAGGCAACAGATCTCTTGCAGCGTAGTCAATTCCAAGTAGACATTAAAAACAATATTATTATGTTGGGGGTAGTGAGGTACTGCAGCGGGTTGATGAGGGAGGTAGTGGAGCCTCCACCCTTGGAACTGTTCAGCATTCAACTGGATAAAACTCTGTGCCAGCTGCTCTAAGTTAGTCTTGCTTTGGACTGCGAAAATTTGGAGCAAGTCAGCAACTGTCAGCCTTTTGAAGTTCTGATGATTTTTGTTTCTTTAGTTACAGTGTTTGTGAAATTCATCCCTCTAAACGAATGTAAATGTGGCCCTTATAGAGGGGTGTGTTCACACAAATCGAACAGATTATTAGTCAAGCGCCAAGCTCTTTCTAACAAGAGACAGATACTTTCACAATTCTGACGTTAGAAACAAAAGGAACAGTTAAGATGTCACTCAGCTTTGGAGGACATTTACTGAAATTATTCTTCAGCACCTGTTTCATCATTTTGATAAGTAGTGTGCACATCCATTAACTATATATGGTAGACACAACCTTAAAAAAATGAACTTTCAGTATTATATTATACTTACTTCATAACTTCATTAACAGTTCTGTCATAGCAACTCTGAAGTGTATTTTCTTAGCTTTACCTCAGTGTTATTACTCCAGTAAAAAGTATTTATTTCCTTCCAGTTTTTCATATGTAACATAAAAATTCCTTTTAGCTAGTCAAAACATGCTCGAGGCTGAAATTGGATGTGTTGCAAGCCAACTGCTTTGTAGGATTTTCTTACCTTATTCCCTAGGTAGTAAGCTTGATAATTCTGTGTGTCAGGGTAAATCATCTTTTGTGTACCTGCATTGGCATAATGGTGTTTGCCTCTGGCAAAACTTAGTCCTCTTTTACTAAAATTTAACAAAACTCCATGTACGCAGGCAACGCTGGGTTAGTAGGCAGGTGCCAAAACCTCAGGAGCAGAGGTTGAGGCATGGAAATTTCAGGCATCGTAATCTACTGTTACCAGCATGAATGTGTGCCGCCTTCTTCAAAAGCGGAAAGCTTTTTTTTCCACAGTTGAATGTTACATAGGCCAGTTGGGGTGACTGCAGAGACTAGGCATTGGTTATTTTTGAAAGAGGATTATATATAATGAGGTCATAGTTACATGTGAGATCATTTTGAATGCTTATAAATCATACTTCTTTATGCTGTGCAATTGCTAACAGCATTCAGATGCTTCCTCTGTGAGCAGGTGACTTTGCTGTATTTTCAAGTATCCTTTATTGCCTCTGATTATTACGCCTAACTAGTTCCACTGAATACAGAAATTTGTCTGAAGTCAGAAGCAACAAGACTTTGATAAAGTCTAGTTCATCAAAAGAGGAGGAAAGGGTGGAAGCAAAGGTTCTGAAGGAGAGCTGGTGGGGAGAGTATTCTGGTGGGAGGAAGAATTTGTGGGGGGGAGGGAAGTAAGTTCTTGCTTTTAAATACTGGAGTGACTGGAAGGCTCAAAGAGGAAAGACGTGCATCCTGAGAGACTGTGGTACTGTACCCTGAAATATAATACTAAATACCAAATAGTTGCCAAGATGGTGTTTTCTTCTCCTTCCGTGTATGCTTTCCTGTGGTCTTTCATGTTACTCCGAATAGTAAGTCAACTCTAATGTCTATGGGCTTTTTTTTTGCTTTTTGCACAGTTGATGTTGTCTGCTCATCACTCCCAGACCTGTACGTGGAGAAAGTATTGGAGTTCCTGGCCTCTGCATTTGAGATATCGTGTCATTTAGAGTTCTATCTTATTTGGGCTCATAAGTTGCTTATGCTACATGGACAGAAACTGAAAACAAGGTGAGATCTTATGAAGGTCAAGAAGCTGACAAACATTTTAAAATACCTGTCAAGAGTTACTGACATTCTAGATAGGTGCACATACAACAACTAAAATGACTTAATTTACATTAATTACATGTGCATTTAATAAATATTTGAATCTTTACATTTATTTATAAAATTTACATTTTAATTTAATACAACTTCTTTACTAACAAGTGCATATGATAGAATTTGAATGCGTAATAGGATAAATTGCAAAAACATTTTTCAAATATTACAGGTAAAACTGCATAGCTCGCTTACCCTATAAATGCATAAAAATTTCAAGAATGATAGGATTTTGGCAATTGTGGTTTTAAACAATTATGCGTATTGAATATAACTGAAAGATAATGTGCAGGTACTGAATTGCATTTTGTAGATTTAGCTTGTGATTACAGCATGCACTTTTAGCTTGTTAGTATTCTGCTTTCCTACATAGTTCTTTACCATTGCATGTGCCTGCCATATGAATTATCTTCAGCCCGCCCATAGTATTCAGTTTATAGACTTTTGAGAACAAAAATAGGAAAATTTACGAATTTAAAATAGCCTAAGTGAGAGGTAATCAGAGGGAGTCCTGCAGGTTACAGAAACAGTGCATTATGTAACTCTTTCCTTGCTTCAACATGGGTATTAAGGTTTTAGTTATTTAAATGACTGGAACATTTTTTTTTTTTTCTTTTGTTCCTGATAAAGTGCAAGAGGACAATTTGAAACAAACTCTTCCTTCTTCAGAAAGTATCATGGTACCTGGAAGGAACTGTCATCACTACAGCAAGCAGAATTAGTTCTTCAAGCTGCAGTTTGACATTAGAAAAATAATTATTTTTGGCAATTACATTGAGTATAATCATTGAGGACAGAGTCAAAAGCAAAAAGGTTTTGTTTATTTAGTGTTATCTTAAAATGTTCATGTGTAAAAGTTAAGATGTATGCTTGTTAAAATTTTGAGAATATAGAGAAGTTCTAGATTTTCATATGTAAATATAAATTGCACTGCAATTTTTTCTCCATTGAAGGTCAGTGAAGCTGCTCCCTGTGATTCAGTTCCTTCAGAAAAGCATCCAACGCCATTTTGAAGATGTTTCCAAACTGTATGTATTGTTATATTTAAAAGTTTTTAAATCAAAACGCTGCACAAAAGCGTGGAGTAATTTGGGGGATGATAGCATGGTATTAGAACTTTCGAGACTGTCTTCTTCTAGAGATGTTTTTATTGTAGGAGAAAAATGGAATCTTGTTTCTAACATGTTGCTATTTATTTTTACAGCTGTGAATGGAATATCTACAATATTAAATATGCTTTGGCCATCTCACAACAGCGGGGCATGAAACGTCTGGCAGAAGAAGCATCAGTAGATGAAGACTTGGATTCTGACAGTGATTATCTTATGCAAGAAGTTCATAAAGACTAGATACTCTTCGTGGGAGGGAGAAAACCTAAGACAAAGTAATTCTATGCGGTGGTATTCACTGAGAATTAGTGGCCCTCATAGTGGCCTATTTTAACTCTTTTTAACAGCGTGGATGGAGTTACATGTGAGTTACAGAAGTGGGGAAAATGTAGGATAGACAAAGTGCCAGCCATAGCGTATTAGGTGTACCCTTTGTCCATAACACCTCGACAGCATTGATTTCTTGATTCATTGTTTTTTTGTTGGGTTGGTTTTTTTTTTTTTATTGTTCCTGATTTCAAGTAAGACAAAAAGGTATTCTTGTATCAGTGAAGTTAGAACTATGGCTGGAAGAAGTGCATTCTTTATTAAAAATGCATTGTACATAGACTTAAGTATTGTGAATTATTTGTAATGCAATCTTGTCATACTTTGTGATGGACTCTTTTTTTTATCTTTTTTTAAATAATTCGTAATCGGAGGACTACATATTGCTTTCAACTTGTTTTAAATGTTGTTTTTATTGGTTTTAATACATACACATTACTGGAACACTGTTAGGAATAATTGGGCCCGTTTTTCTTAGTTCTATAGCTTCCAAAACTGATGAAATTTCAATAGTGAGGATAAATGATATAACCATAACAATGAATATGGGGGGAAAAAATATACTGTGCTATATAACTTCTGCAGAGGTTTAATTAATCTGAGATACTGTAGTAAAAATTGGTTTGGAAATTGCAAATTCAATAATCTAACTTGAACTGTAAGAGAACATGTTTCAGATGTTTCTTTTGCTCATGAAAGCCCTTTCTTGTCTTGTGTTTGTAAAATGTTTTTATTAACATAAAAACCTGAAACTTTTGGTTTTCTTTGCTTTTGTGAATTGGCATGAAAATTTGCTAATAACAGGGTGAGGTCCTGAACACAAAGAACTATATCCGTGCTTGTGATGCTTTCAAGCCACGTGTTGAAAAGCCTTTGCTAATGAAGATAGTGAAAGTATTAATAATGAGCCAGAATTCCT